TCGATATAATTTAAATATAAATCAAATAGAATATTATTTCTTTTATATCCAATATTTTTATATAATTTCAATCAATAATTATTATAAAACACATATAAATATATATTTTTAAATATATATTTATTACATTCTTTCCGGAAACCATAAATAATAAGCTTCAATATATATATTTTTTTTGGCAAAAAATATATTTAAAATAATTTGAATAATTTTTCCATATAAATTATAAAATACTAAAAACAAAATAATACATATCTATAATATACAAACCAATATAATTTTATCAATATATTATAAATACATATTTATAAATGTATTCTAATAATATATATAAAAATAAATAAACATATTTTATATTAAACAAATAATTTATTACTTTAATTAAAAAAATAAAATATTAATTTATCTAAATCAACCAAAATCGTATTCGAATATATTATATATTGCAAAAAATGCTTCGAAACATAATTAAAAATTATAAAAACGATATAAATACATCAAAATTCGAAAACCCCCCATAGTTTATTTTTAAAAAATCATAATCAATAAATCCCTCAAATTCTTCATTATCAATTACGAAAAATACCAAAATTTGCGGAATTCCATCGATAACGAACGAATAAAAACTTATCATTCGATTTTCATCAATCATCCAAATATTGCCTAAATTCCAAAACATATATATAAAACATATTAAACATAATTATTACATAAAAATAATATCAATTTTAAATACTAAATAAATACATTATATTATATCAATAATTTAATCAATTATATACTTATTTAATAAATATTAATGCACATAAAATATATAAAAAAATAAAAATTCCAACGAATACGTCATTCGCCCACATTAACCAACGAGCCGACAAAATACCATATCCTACCTACCTCTAAACATTATACGAAAATTCACCCAAATATTTAAACCATCAATGCGAAATATATATAAAAAAGATCTTAACGAATTATTCGATTATTATCAATATCATAATATCAATGTCTAAATATAACAATTATCAATATTTCCCCTACATCTAAAAATAAAATTAACATAACAATCGCCAAAATCAAACCTTTCACCCAAATAAACAACATCTATATTAATATTAACTAATTCCCATTTCAATCTAAAAACCAATCATACTCACAAACACGAACATCTTCACCTTATTGCGGTACCAATACACACTACAAAATTTTTAATCAAGACTAACATATCGTTCCAAAAAACTATATTATAAATGCCATGCAATACATTAATATAAGATTCAATATCACTCCAAATAGAAATTTTTGTAATATAATATGATCTAATAATATAATATGCGAAATAATCGGTATCACGAATATATTTCGGTCTTCATTGCCGTAATAATGTTTAATCTCCCGGCCCGGAAATAACACGGAATAAAGCGTCATCGATTTTCCAAACATAGCACCGCAAAACCATCCTAAGAATTCTCCGGAACTCTTTACCTAGGAAATTATCCCGATATAGATCCAAATCGTCAAGGCTCGTCAACAAACGAGCCAAAGGCATTTGCCATGCGTCCCCAACTTCCACTGTAAAATTCTCCATGATAGCCTAATTAAGCCCACAGCTGTGCAAAAAGCGTGTTATTAAACATAGCCGGTGGCACCATTAGACCTCAAGGCATGAGTGCGGAGCCATAAAATCACCTCTTCAGCTTGTTGGAAATAGCCACTGCAAGCGGAGAGCGCTAAAGTCCCGTGGGACGGATAGTAGTGCCAACTAGATGATACCATTGCCCACTAGTCGTTGGATATGGCTAAATAATTCTAAGGCTTCGGTTGTTCTAAGGGACTATTCGAGCTTCCAAGGTATGGCAATGGCTGCGTCCTGGGGCAAAGTGTCCCGCCGCAATGGGCGTAAAGCAGCAGACCGATGCACCAGCTGTAGGTTCTAACTCAGGGCATTGACCCTGTGCAGGATTTGACCCATCTCCTCATGGTTAGCTTCAAGGTCTGGGCTTTGGCATCCCACGCCAAGTAGTTCCATCGACGGTCTGTGATAAAAACTCCTCTCGTCATCACGTTCGATCAAAGCCTAAATCATTCCCTGAAACAGGGTCTGCCGAAGGGATGCTATAGCTTCTCCTACTTCTAAAGATTCCAGGTGCCTAAACGCTCCAACAACTGTGGCATGAGACTGCCCCGTCCATACTGTGCAAACACCAGAAGGAGCGATCCAAGTTCATTTCGTTAAATAGAAGATTCTCCTGGCGTAAGGAAAGTCTAGCCACAAGTCGTCCTGCCTTCCAGAGCCTAAAAACGTTGACTCCGGTGTTTTGGAGCTGCGTCTATACCGCTCCTGGCCATTGGACTTGCGGCCATGTAAATGTGGGTCGGTACGATGTCTCTTTGGGAAGTGGTCCCCACATGTCTGCAACAAATCCAATCCTAATACAGAGCCTGGGCTATGTCGTCCAACATGTATGCAATGAGCAGGATCTGTGACGGTGCATCTTCATGCAATACCAAATTACTAGGCGGTCGACAGTCGAGGCCGGCAGGTTAAGGTCCAAGCCCATGCCAACAAAAACAAAATAAACACACATATTATAAAATATATTCAAATTCGTAAATAATTACTATATTAGTGTTTTAAATTCAATTATGTTCTTAAATCAATGTGCATATATGTTTATAATACCCAAAAATCAAAAACATCCCTAAGTCACAAAAGAGGGTCGGTGCCTTCGACGAAGGTGTCTTCCATTCCTCCGGTTGGGGCCTCTTCGTGGGGTTGTCTGTCCTTGCCCCAGGAGGTCAGCAGCCGCCATGGCATCCGCCGCGTCTACACTATAGCCCGCCGGTGCGGGGGGAGAAAGTCGTAAGCCCGGGCGCTCACTCTCCTCCGCAGCAGCAGATGGATCAGCCGCGCTGGTAGTTGGGGTTCTGCAGCAATGGGCCATTCCATCAGAGGTTCAGCCATCTCTTCCATGGGAGTAGGCACATCATCCGCCATAGGAGCATCAGCCGCCGATGAGCTGGGCAGGAGCCGAGGGGGCCCCGCTGCACCACGTGCAGGAAGGTCCGTGCCCTTGTCTCCATCCTCAAGGGTTTCGAAGTGGACCCGAAGGTCATCCATGTGCCGAGTAAGGTCCAGGATCTGTGGCTGCGTGTCCAATTCTTCCACCACGACAGGCTTGCCAAAAACAGAGAGGCCAAGCGCTGCCTCGTCCTCAGCATGTCGGAGAGCAGTGGAGGCCGCGTCCGCCTCCTGGTTGAGTCTCTCCATTACTGACCGTAGCCGCGTCCACCATTTCGTCAGCCGTGTCGGCTGGTTTGAGCTTCGGTGAAAGTCTCAAGCATCACGTACTCTGACTCCATAGGGTGCGCCATAGCGATGTTCACAGAAAGAAAACCTATGGGCGTGAGCTTTTCAATTCTCTGTCGGCAACACACTCGAGGTTGCCTCCCAACTTGAGCCAAAATGTCCCGGTGGGACATTTTAGTGAATTTTTGTGAACATAAAACTTGCAACCGCAAGCTCAATGCAAGTGTGAATATATACGTATATTACTTTATCAGGACGAATAACTTTTGACAGGGTTCTCGGGTGCCACGCTTTCAGATTTTTGTGCGCCATATGCGTTGGGGATAAGGCCACACGTCCACGAGATCAGGCGCCAAACCCTCAAAAAGCTAGTGGCCGTGAATGGTAGAGCCGCAGGTGATGTAGTTTGAGGCGCAATTGTTTTAACATGCCAGAATTCTGTCCTGGTACAGTTGGTGGGTGGGGCAAAGCAGGCCAAGAGTCTTGGGGATACTGTGGTGTGGAGGTGACCCAGCAAGCCCCTGAGGCAACGCGCTGTTTGCGCGCGTGGTATTATATCCACTTCTGCTGCCGCAAAGCACCATGTGGACTGGAAAAGAAATGATGCAGTGTGACGCGCGTTCACCAAACGCCTCCAAGCAAGGCGGGGCTTAGTGACGGCGTAGTAGCTTTTGCGACGTATTTGCATGTGCTTGCGCGCAAGAAATCCAGCGCCCCCAAGAAAGACGTGGGTTATCATAAACGGTATAACGCCTGGGCCTGAGCGGGCCCACGAAGTTGCCATAAAGGCAAAAAGGTTGAGGAGCTTCTGTGCACACACTCGTGTACGCCGCGCGAACTCGACTCAATGGTAATTTGCACAATGAAAGCGGTGCAAACGGGGGACTTCTGGTTCCTCATCATTGATGACGAGCTGTGGTTCTCTCTGACATGTCCATCCCGCCAGTGGCTGGAAACCAAAAGCTTAGAAGCTGTTTGTGGCAGTGGTCCGTCAATGGGTTTGATGAGCAGTGATTTTCTTTCTCTGCTGGTCGTTGCTGCTGCGCAGTCATCAAGCCTCCTCCCGCCAGAGCAGCTCAAGCGGCTGACGAGTTTTTGGCAGCAGCATCGTCTCACGGCACCTGCGTTGTTCGGCCAGTGTTGACTCACGTTACTTCTTGTTGTGTCGGGCCCAACTGTGCCCAGCTGCGTTTGTTCAGGCGCGGTTGCCGTTGTCCATCAAAGCATGTCGAAACACGAGGATCCCACGAAGAGTGGCTACCTGGGCTCAACATGTCAAAGTGTACCTGCCTCGCGAAACAGCCATGCTGCGACAATGAGGACAATTCAACAACGAGCCACGAGCCAGCGACCAACGAGCTTGGCACCATTACCTTAAAGATCCTTAATTAAAGTGTTTGGAGAAAGTGTCCTTCCAACAAACCTGACGCTTCAATTCAAAACGCGCCTAGTCGTCAAACCACTTGAGCTCTTCTGATCTCACTTTTATGAAACAGGACCGTGTACACTTGAACTTTGTTTGCCTCTTCGACGTCACGCACAATTTCAGATTAATGATCGGTTCTTTTGCTCGCAAGAGCTATGTTCTGGCTGGTGTTGCACGTTTGGTATACAGGGCTGGGGCTGGGAGACAGACTGCTTCTTTGCGCAAATTGGACACCCATCATTGACAGGTCAAAAACTTGACCTGTGTCACCGGTAACTTCCCCATCCCTAATGTGGAGTTCCTCCTATTCAGCTTGAGCTAACTTGGCAAAGTAACCTCAGCGAATTCCTTGATCCGTTGAGGGTCTAAAAGGAGCCCAAGCTCCAAACAACGGGCTGAATGGATCTTCATTCTAGGATTGAAACCCACTTGATGCACTCCCAGTGAATCCTCAGCTTTGAATGGGTTCTAACTTTTGGAATCGGTGTTGGTTGTTCCTTCGCTGGGAGGCCAAACGTCGCTCGCATTGGGCCGGCACTGCATGAAATTCGTTCAGGTGAAACCAACCGCCAAGACGAGACGAAGGAATTCTCCGACAAAGCCTTCAATGTCCAACTAACAAGCCAAGAACATAGACCCAAATAGGGAGATAGACCCTGGGAGTACGTGGCCCATGTGTTCGTTGCTTTGGTCTGTAAAGTGCAGAATGAATTGGCAGGCCTGTAAGTTTAAGAAGAACGAAAGTGGATCCTTCCTCAAATGTGTTGGAACCCACAGTTGCCGACAAACACAGGCATGTTTTTGAACAGAATCGCACGTCTCTTGATGGAAGCACAGTTGATCTACTGCTCTGTTGCAGGATTTCCCCTCGCACAGCAGCTGAGCAGCTCCTGATAGGGGTGCGACTGATCATCACAGGCGAGAACACACAACCTTTTGTCCAAGCATCCAAAACTCTAGGGCAACACTCAGCCCACCTGGCTTCCCTTCAGTGGCCTCAGTCAGCGAGACACGAAACCTTTGTTGACTCCAAAACGCAAGTATTTGGCATGATTCGATCTCGCTACTCTCTCAATGCTGAAATGGGCTGGTGAAGAGAAACGGGAAAGTTGTGGACCTTCCACGTGCTATTGGCTCCTATGCTGAGAGAACCAGCAAAGCAATGTCATCGACAACATTCGATGGTCATGGACCTTACGCCTTTGGCTTGCCAGGAGCTCTTAGCTGGATTGGCTTGCGCTTGAAGGGTTCTTCCTATTAGGACAGCAATGTGTCAACACTTTTTCTGCTGGAACCCAAGTCGTCAAATTTTTTGGCAGAACAAATCGTTTGGGTTGCCTGATGTTGTCTGGTACTGGAGAGTGGGCTGAACTTAGGTCCTGGACAGGCCTTGAGGCCCTGAGACCCAGTCTGTGGCTGCAGCCATGGGAACAGCAGTCAACTTGTTCCACCACCTCAGCTGCACCGAAACTCTGAAATGGGTTTCAAACTCTGAAAAAGGTTCCCCCTCCGTGGTGCTCCTTCGCTGCTGAAACTGCGGAGGCCCCAGAGGGTAACGGCTAAGGGCAAGGTTTGATTGCAAGGACGGTACAAGGAGTAGTGTTCAACATTTCGACCTAGGAAACAATATACGTTAACATTTCTGCTGCATATTAATATTCGCTTACAACCGAGCATCGTCCCAAAGACGCAAAAACTTGCTGGATTCCGAGTTCTCCCGTTACTGGGGGCACCAGCCGAAAACCAACCACATCGACAGCGCAAATCACTTGGCACCAGCAGCCCCGACGTCTCCACGTCTCCGATACCACCAGAAGTCCAAGCAGTTCTTCCAAGCACTGCCCTAGGCGGACCCGAACATGTTTTGCTTCGTTAAGGCCTTTAGTATTTAGTGGTTCCCCACCAAGTGAGGGTTGTTAGATTTTCTTTCAGCTCTCAACTCCTCTTCGTTCCTTCCTTCCTTCCTTCCTTCCTCCCTTCCTTCCCTCCTTGTCCTGGGCACCACGCGATGTCATAAGGAATGCCACAATGTATGCCAAATAGAATGCCAAAATAGGTGCCAACTAGAATCTCACAATAGATGCCCAATGATATGGAATGTTACACAAGATGCGAAATATGCCTCGTAGAATGCCAGAAATGATGACAGAAGATGTCGGGCCCACATTCTCAAGTGGACACCGCCGGACCCGTTGCCATGGTCGGGATCACTCGAAGTCAATCATATTGTTTCTTTCATGTGTGAATCTTTCCCCGAGAGCGCCTGAGCGAAGGGTTCTTCTAAAAAACAGGAACAAAACAGTGAACATTACATATCATCGCAACTTGCATCCGCACATACCCAGTTACGCGCATCTTCACATCTGCTCATATTGCACACCCGCATATCTTTACATCTGCACGTCCCCGCATATCCTGACACGCGCATCTTCCGATTTGCACATCTCTTTGACTCATTTTCTCGTCTCCCTCTCCTTCTCTCTTGGTTAGAATTATCGCGGACGGGGGTAATGCCGACGAGGCACCACGAAACGCAACCCTTTCGCGCGACAATGCGTGTCACCTGCGTCAAAAATCTGTGGAAAATGCGATTTCAAAATGTCCGAGACAACCCTTTCGCGCAAAGCGTGTCAAGTGTCAAAAGGTGCAAGGGGAAATTGGGATGACTTCAAATGGTGAAAGTTGCCAAGGTGCAACTGTCGTAAAGAAACGAAGGTTGCAGTTGCCAAAGTGTGTAACTGTCGTCGAAAACAAAGGTGGAACTAAAGTATGCAACTGTCGTCCAGAATGAAGGCGGGTGTTGCCAAAATGTGTAACGGTCGTCGAAAACAAAGGTGGGTGGCACCAAAGTGTGTAACTGTCGTCGAAAACGAAAGCGGGCCTTGCCAAAGTGTGTGACTGTCGACGCAACGAAGGTGGATGTTGCCAAATAGTTTGTAGCATTGAAAGTGGACGTTGCCAGAAAGAACTGCTAACGCAGAGCGTCTCTGCTGTCCGCCGCGGTCGGAAATCTACCAACTGCTGCAAAGCAGGACAACCGGGACCCCAGCCTAAAGTGGAGTAGAAGGAGTCCGAAAAATCGCTCAAATTCTTTTGAAGCGTAGAAGGTGCGCCGTCGAGGTATATCTGTAGGACAGAAGAAGTACAACGCCTGTCTAAGCACTGCAAGGCATCGCGTGCTCAGCACGCCCAAACCATTCCGTGGCCCACCGTGTCCTGGCTTCATCCTCTAGGCATCTTGCAGAGGCACATACTGTAGAAGGCTTTTCGCTGGCAAATTTCTCCGGCCATCGCTTTGGCAGGTGTTGCATATTGGGCCCAAGTTGGCCAGAATTTGTCACTCACATAAATTCATCGCTGCAGGCGTGTCCAATTTCGCAGACAGAAACAGACGGACCTGTGACCTGGGAAGATCTTTTCTTGCAAGGCTCACCTGAATGGGGGCCAGTCCGCACCATTGGCTTTGGGCGAGCCAAAGGCATCACAGCCAACAAAAGAGCAAACACAACAAACGTCTCACAAAGCTTGCAGCTGCTCGAAGTCATTCACCAAGCTGACCAAGCCTTACCACAGCAGCTGCAAACAACACAAGTGCTGGGCCATGCAAGAGTTAGGATTTGGTGGCAAGCCACCACATTTGCAGGTGGATGTTGCCAAAGTGCGTAACTGTCGTCGAAATGGGAGGTTTATGGAAGACATGCAGTACAGGCAGCAGCTTCTGGGAGCTGTGGCCTCAGGAGTGGTAACTATTTGTAGTACCAATGTAATACGGGAAGCAGCTTCTGGGAGCGGCGACCGGCAACTTTGTAGTACACTTTGTAGCCCAAATTTAGTATGGGAAGCGCTTTCTGGGATGTTGGTGTTGCAGTGTTAACATAGATTGTGGCACAGCGTAAACGCGGCACGTCGCTGGGGAGCAGGATGATTGGCGGTGTCAACGAGGTTTGGTGTAGACACTTGCAGACGATGCGACAAGTAGAAAGACGCGTGATCCACAGGTGTTGCGATACAACACAATCAACAGAACTTGTATGCATGTGTTTCAAGGCTCTCGGGCTATTCACCGTCTAGTTATTTTTCAATTTCTTAAAGCAGAATGGACAAAACAAGAATGTCAGTAAGCAAGGCAAGAACGTAACTGATCGACCAACCCACCGTGAAGCGTATGTTTGGGATATTCTCGGCACGCGCGTTTGATGTTAGGATCAGTTTGGCCCACTTCAACCATGCAGAATTGAATCATTCATTGGGACACACAATTTACATATTATATATAGAGATTTTATCTGCCTCAAAGGATCACAGAAGCACAGTCAGCAATAAACAAGGCACTTATTCAGAGAAGAACGCAAAGTACAACAACATATCGCGAATGATGGCAACCCTAATCACAAGTCGCCTCTCATCTCCGCCCTTGCCTTGTTAAAAGGATTCCGGAAAGTCTTGTGCGCATGACCTGCCGCAGGCGCGAAAGGCCAACCCCTGGGATCCAGTGCGCACTCCCATGTGCGCGTGCCTTGGCGCAAAGGTTTCTCGTGGTTTCCCAGTTGTCTAAGAATGCATTCTGACATGTAAAAAGTCATTAAACAAATGTAGAAAGGTTGAACTTGCCCAAATTAATAAATACACAACAGTTTTTGCAACTGAACATCATCCTTGGACGCACCTGTCACCATAGTCCTGACTACCCAGAAGTGCTCGTACCTGCGGGTGCAGCGAATGTCCTTGCAATCAAACACTTTGCTTCTATGAAACTCCTGTCATACTTGTGTAGCATTATGTGAAGGGTACCGTGCAGCCTTCTTGGCAAACACATGCAAGAACATGGCCTTGCAACAGCTGTGCCTGTGCATGTTCATCATCTCGTTGGTGGTCAGGTTCATCATGACCTCAATGCTTTCATGCTCACCCAGGAAACATCTACAAATCTTCAAAGGGACCACGGCTCAAAATGTTACCTACATCACCTAGAGACTTTCAGAGGGGTTGCTGAACCCCAGCAAGCTGCTGTGGTGCGTACAAAAGACTCAATTCGAGATTGACGTGTTGGGGATGTTCACAACGTTGATTCTTCCACAATTGATTTCCTTTTCTCCTTTCCATCCAAGCGAGTGCAATCTCGGCTTTTAGCAACTGCTGGGCATGGTGTTGTCATTTCATTCAGCAAGTCAACAAAGGTCCCGGTCGCTGTTTGGCCAGGCAGTGTCAAGTGGCACACATCTATTTAATGTCGGTCTTTATTAGTAAGTTTTTTCCTAGAAAACGACTGAGGGAGACTCAATAGCAAGTGCTCCACCAAAGCAATTCCAAGGACTTCTGGCGCAGTAGTAGCATTAGTAGCAACAGCAGCAGTAGTAGCAGTAGTAGTAGCAGTAGCAGTAGCAGCAGTAGCAGCAGCAGCATGAGGCAAGAGTAGTCGTAGTGGTAGTGGTCGTGGTGGTGGTGGTCGTAGTGGTAGTGGTAGTGGTAGTCGTAGTCGCAGTCGTAGTCGTAGTAGTAGTAGTAGTGGTAGTAGTTGTTGCTGTAGTCGTAGTCGTAGTAGTAGTAGTAGTAGTCGTCGTAGTGGTAGTAGTAGTAGTAGTCGTCGTAGTAGTAGTAGTTGTTGTTGTTGTAGTAGTCGTAGTAGTAGTAGTTGTTGTTGTTGTAGTAGTCGTAGTAGTAGTAGTAGTAGTGGTAGTGGTAGTGGTAGTGGTAGTGGTAGTGGTAGTGGTGGTAGTGGTGGTAGTGGTGGTAGTAGTAGTAGTAGTAGTAGTAGTAGTAGTAGTAATATAGTAGTAGTAGTAGTAGTAGTTGTTGTTGTTGTTGTTGACATTAGTTAGTAGTTAGTAGGAGTAGCTTGTAGGAGTAGGAGAACGAGGAGGAGTAGGGTTGTGGTAGTAGTAGGATGAGGAATAGTAACATTTAGGAAAAACACAACCAACTCTGGGAGAAAAAACTTGTTGTTCCAACCTTGATACCAATTCAAGGGTTGGGAATTCTTTCGGGAACGCTGCCTTGTAAATTCTGCCCCAGCCTACAAAACGGGACTCGACATTGAAAAAGGAGATCACAAGAATCTACAGATCTAAAACTACCTACGGTTAAACAAATAACCAACACCAAATATAAACCATGTTCACAGCAAGGCATGTTTGCACTTCCAACGTCGCCTGAACTCTTCATTTCCAAGGGGCCAGTCGAGCTTGATGAAGCGTCAACATGAAGACCTCTCATGGCGCCCCGCAACAAAAGCCCACTCGTAAACACTGACCCTGCTTGACTCGTTCGTGCTTGCCGCTTGAATGGTGCTGGCTCCCTTTCGCATGCCCTGTCGCCGCTCAAGATTTGGAACTCAGACCTCGTGGCTCTCGAAATAGTATTTAGTTATTGAGCGGAGTGTCTTGCTCTTTTGTTCCCCTGGCCAGTCCACAAAATTCCAAGAATGGCTGCTGCTACTGCTGCTGCTCTGTTTGGTGTGCAAATGGAAAGACTCCACTGCGCTTGCACATCACCCTCTAAGGCTACGACCCAGGGTGCAGTGATGCAATGGACTAAGACCTCATCGCACTTTCTGGGCTAAAAATGAGGGCAACGGTTGCGACAAAATCACGATGCTTGTCTTGACCAAATCATATTGGAAGTCTTCCCCGAACGAGAACAGCAGGACGGTAGCGACTGACAACTAGCCCTTGTAATGTCATGCGAGTTTTGTTGTCTTGAACCAGGTGTCTCCAGTTCATCAACAATGGATCAGAATTGATGCTTCATAACGACATTTGGCTGTGGATCAAATGCCCGGCTCCCCATGTAGACCTCCTGATCCGGAGGCCTAGAACGGCAGGTGTGTTCCGGAGGTCTGGAATGTCTTCTCTATTTGTACTTAATAGTGAGCACATATACACACGTACATATGCAAATGCACTTAGACTTCATGCAGAAAACAACCCTACAGAGAAGGACCCCCTTCACAAGAGAAGGCCTCATAACGCGGGGAAACGTCCAAAATGAGCTCGAGCAGGTCTGGAACGGGTCTGGAACGGTATGGAACCTGGTCTGGAACGAAACCGCACACGCCGGAACAAGTTCTTCCAATCCACCCCACTCAGTCCTGTGGAATTAGCCCAGACTGGGAGACAAATGCATAGAAGTACAAGTAGTTCCCGGGCAAGACGGCGGCGGAAGTTTCCAAAAGAATAAGCCTATAGGAAATGGGCATGTGGCAGGCTGATTCGCCGAGCTGCGATGTTCTTTGACATAGCAAGTTGGAACCGACCAATGGAGCGAAAGCGAAGCAACCACCGTCAACTGTCTCGCAGGAAAAAACGTTGTTCATGCATTCTTGCAAAATACAGAATAGAGATGACTCAGCCGCGTGCTAAAGTTGTACTACAAAGTCGCCAGTTCTCAGCTTCCAGCTCCACAGCTTGCTCCGCGTACTAGAGTTGTACTACAAAGTCGCCAGTTCTCAGCTTCAAGCTCCACAGATACTCCGCGTACTAAAGTTGTACTACAAAGTCGCCAGTTCTCAGCTTCCAGCTCCCCTTGCACTACAAAGTCGCCAGTTCTCATTTTCCAGCTCTCCAGATACTTCGCGTACTAAAAATGCACTACAAAGTCGCCAATTCTCATCTTCCAGCTCCACAGATTGCTCCGCGTGCTAAACTAGTACTACAAAGTCGCCAGTTCTCATCTTCCAGCTCCCCAGATACTCCGCGTACTAAAGTTGTACTACAAAGTCGCCAGCTCTCAGCTTCCAGCTCCACCGTTTGCTCCGCGTACTAAAGTTGTGCTACAAGGTCGCCAGTTCTCATCTTCCAGCTCCGCAGATACTCCGCGTACTAAAGTTGTACTACAAAGTGCTGCACCTGCCACGAAATCTGCACATGGAGGTTCACAAAGTGCTGTGCCTGCCACGAAAGCTGCACATGGAGGTTCACAAAGTGCTCCGCCTGCCACGAAATCTGCACCTCGAGGTTCACAAAGTGCTGTGCCTGCCACGAAATCTGCACATGGAGGTTCACAAAGTGCTGTGCCTGCCGCGAAATCTGCACATGGAGGTTCACACAGTTCTGTGCCTGCCACGAAATCTGCGCATGGAGGTTCACAAAGTGCTGCACCTGCCACGAAATCTGCGCATGGAGTTTCACAAAGTGCTGCACCTGCCACAAAATCTGCACATGGAGGTTCGCAAAGTGCTGTGCCTGCCACGAAAACCGCAGATGGAGGTTCACAAATTGCTGTGCCTGCCACGAAATCTGCACATGGAGGTTCACAAAGTGCTGTGCCTGCCACGAAATCTGCACCTCGAGGTTCACACAGTGCTGTGCCTGCCACGAAATCTGCACATGGAGGTTCATGGAGGTTCGCAAAGTGCTGTGCCTGCCACGAAATCTGCACATGGAGGTTCACAAAGTGCTGTGCCTGCCACGAAATCTGCGCATGGAGGTTCACAAAGTGCTGCACCTGCCACGAAATCTGCACATGGAGGTTCACAAAGTGCTGTGCCTGCCACGAAATCTGCACATGGAGGTTCACAAAGTGCTGTGCCTGCCACGAAATCCGCACATGGAGGTTCACAAAGTGCTGTGCCTGCCACGAAATCTGCGCCTTGAGGTTCACACAGTGCTGTGCCTGCCACGAAATCTGCACATGAAGGTTCACAAAGTGCTGTGCCTGCCACGTAAACTGGAGCTAGAGCTATTGAAACCAGAGCTGACTGGAGCTAGAGCTCTTGAAACTAAAGCTACCTGGAGCTAGAGCTATTGAAACTAGAGCTACCTGGAGCTAGAGCTCTTGCAACTAGAGCTAACTGGAGCTAGAGCTCTTGAAACTACAGCTAACTGGATGATGAGTGGTGTATGATGAGTGGTGTATGATGAGTGGTGTATGAGTGGGGTATAATGAATGGTGTATGATGAGTGGTGTGGTGTATGATGAGTGGTGTATTGATGAGTGGTGTATGAACAGTTCTTGAATGTCCGTAACATGGAAGTTTCGTGCACTAAACTTCCTTTGACTACTAGTAACAAGAAGCTATTCTTACTGCTAGTAACAAGGAAGCTACTAGGAGCAAAGGGCATCGCTAGGAGCAAAGACGCTACGAACGTAGCTCAAGGCGGACACACCGAACAAATCACGGAGGCGGACACACCGAAACCGCTTGGGGAATGAAATTGAGGTATCGAACAAGGCGTGGAACGGTATGAATCGTCTGGAACAAAAGGTCAACCCGCCACTGATCCATACCAAAAGGTTTTGACTGATTGCCATTTCTGTGGCCTCAACAATCGCACAGCACAGCGAAAGTGTATGTGGCATCCAGCAATGAAAGACCTCTTGTTGAAGCGTCTGGAAATTGTAGCCCGCCAGCTTTTTGGCACAGTCTGAGAAGCGGTTCTCATTTGAAACGTATCTTGGCGCTTGCCAAAAGAAGGGCTTCCAAATGACACTGGCTCAAGAATTGGGAGACTATATGGCACCCTTTCACGGCCCTTCTAATTGGCCAATAAGGCATCAAGTCTGCCAGCAACGCCTCGCCCCAAATCATCAAGACTTCTTTAGGGTTCCGGGCGATGAGGGTGAGCAAAGGATATCCAGTGAGGACACCCCAAACGAACTGCGTGAAGGATTGGTAGGGTACCAAAGTGGATGCCATCAGCCTCAGAAACACGGCTGAGTTGTGACAATTACCTGTGTAAATGCAAAGCTGTGCCCTGCTGCGCCCTAAGTTTCCCAAAAAATCTAGGAGCCAAATCCTTAGTGCGAGCTCGCCTGCGTCCTGTCGGTAGTAGCTACTTAGGTAGTAGCTACCTAGCTCTACTGTCGCGGCCTATCCCCCATAAAAAAGCGCACGCATGGGCTCCCCAGCAAACAAAGGCGGATGTGGGTCACCTGCTGTTTTCTAGCTGTCAGAATGAGAAGATCTGACAGGCAGTGAACGGTCGGTTCTTGCATAATGACCTAAACTGCTGTGGTCTCTTGGAAGATCGCCCATTGCACTGCGGATCACACACCCTTTTGTTTCAGACGGCCTCAAACACCTAACCTCCTGCTTCTCTCGGCCTGGGTGAGGAACTCCACCACGGCCAAGCCTCCATCCACCGGTTTTCGGAGCTGAGGTCGGAAAGTGCCCCTTTGTAGCTTCACTAAGTCTGCGAGAATACTATTGAGAATACCGATCCTCTTGTATCCATTTTATCTCTTTAGGTTTGGTTCAGGGTTCAGAACGCATGCAACCAGGACGTGTTTTGGTTTCTCTGAGTGCGCGGCCCACAAACTGCCGGTGGTTTGCCTTTCCTGAGCCAAGAAACACAGGATCCCTAGGCCATTCCACGGAGAGTAACTAGAAGAACTGGGCTGCTTACATGGGATGGTACTGACGCTGAGACAGGGATGATACTCCTGGCATTTCATGCTCAAAACAAATTTGATTGTTAGATTTTATTGGCCACCTATTCCCACATTTTCATTTTTGGTTGAACGTTTGAAGGCTGATGGACTAGTTTTCCTGCACCATTTGCAAACGAATGGTATTCAGCACCCCTCGAGCAATGTGTCATTAACAATCAAATGAACGCTATGCTATGCCGCATCACAGGTCGTGATGCCACGACAACGGACATGGCTCCGGGTCACGTCGGCAAGTACAGTAGTTGAACGCTCGAAATCGGAAAGGTCACTACTGCAGGAACAAGTGCATCGCTTCTAGTAACAAGTGCCTTACTACTAGGAACAAGAAGCTAGTAGAAACAAGTGCCACGCTAGTAGTAACAGGTGCCTTACTAGTAGCAACAAGAAGCTATTAGAAACAAGTGCCTTACTAGTAGAAACAAGTGCCACGCTAGTAGTGACAGGTGCCTTACTAAATCCAAAGGGGCTTTGGGGTTTCGCCTCACTGAAGGTCCTTCACCACATTCCCTCTCCGGGGACATGCATGGTCCATTTCAAGGATTTGAATCCACACATAGATACACATGTAACAATTCAGGCAGGTTGCCTGTCCAACGTGCCGAAACTTGTTAAGTGCATAGTGCATGTGATCTTACTCCAAATAGATCCATTTGATGGTGAATGCGGACAGCATCCACACGAAGGCCAGACACAAGTCCGCTCCGTTATGGCCTATGGAGTCCATAGCTTCAGTGTTCGAGGTCCAAATCCCGTCCTCCATTTGACGAATTTGCTGACTTCCCTGGGTTTGTGATAAAATCCATTTCACTCAAGGAACTGGTGCAGGTCGTGATGTTAGGAACTTTTGCCACCAAACGCAGAGACCACCAACCTGCCCCACACCAGGGCACGATTCCGCCCGTTCACAATCGAGGAGCCGATGGTGTTGTTGAGCCAAACGCAGTAGTGATCGAACTCCTGCAGTGCCGAACCCGACAAAGCTAGTGACTGAACCTGGAAGGGAACCCAAAGGATGTACGTTGGCACTTAGTTGCAAATCACAATCGCTGCAGTATAAAACACACTTGTTGGTTCAAGTTTTGCTCCTCTTTTCCCATAAAGGACGCATACCACGGAACATTGCCAAGAAACACATAGGGCTAGGCACCTCCAACCACCTTCTAGATTCTAGATCCAACGTCTTTAATGAGCAGGTTCTTTTCATTCAACAAGGGTATGCACAATGACCCCCCCAACATACTCAAGCCGCACGTACTTTCTCTTGTGGTGGAGAAGTGTGGTCCACCAGATCTTGGAACCTCCACAGGCCCTTCGTGCAAAGAACTTTCATATCCAAATCTTTGCACCCAACTAACGCGCCGATCCGGTGGTTCGTCGCACCTCCAATGATGTAAAACAGCGTGGAATCTGAGGATCGGTTTTTTTTTTTTTTTTTTTTCCGGGTGGACACACACATATTATATTGATCATTGGTGCATCTTTGTGTTAGTTAGCCGAAAAGGAGAAGTGAACCCACAAGTGTAAGCTCAATGCCGTTTGCTTCTTGTACAAGCACTTTCGTGATTCATGCCTGTTTGTGCGCGTGCGTTTTCGTTCAGCTTCACTTAGATCGCTTGTAGGGTCTCCCTTCACTAGTGTCTCACTGTTTTGCGTGTACAAGGAAATTAGTATTAGTACTCTAACAAAAGAGTGAAATAATACAAACCCGATTAAGTACGATCTTCGCCGCAAATATCGACCAAGGCAACTTCATGCACAGGGGTTGGGAAGATTGTGTCTGTTTTGTGTTTCGTTTTGCTTCTCATTTAACCCTGTCTGGTCTCACACTTTATGCACATGATGCATTTGGCTCAAGCTCACGGAAAAACAACCGCTTGCTTCAAACTGCGCTTTCGCACTTGTCTTGCATTCGCATCATCCCTCGTTCTTTCCGAGGGAACTCCACTGCTTACACTGACGCGTCGCCCCCCCACCCCACTATAACACACAACTAATCGGTGACAAGTTCTATGAAACCGATGACAAGTTCTATGCAGCCGATGACAAATTCTATACCTCCCCAGCTGGTTCGCGCACAGTCACAAGACCCTGCGTGCACCAGCACCATCCGATCGGACCCAAGAACAAGGACCTTGCCATCTGTAGGCCCTTGCCTTTTTCAGAGACTCCCACTACATCCCACTACCATGTCTCCTCCACACAGGCGCCAGTCTGCACGCAGTATTTCGTGCGGAGCCTTCGGCGTGGCGGATCGAGGAGATCCAAAGCCCAATGCCCAGCCATTGCTTCACCAAAGCGACCGTGAGAGCCATTATTTCCTGGATCTCGTAACTTTGCAACCGAGTCGAGTTAGAGCCCCCAAGGGTTGCAGGGGACCCCCCACGTGTACCCCTATTTCTCGTCGAATATAAGGACACGTCATATAGAAAAGGGGCACAACCAAGGCTCTCTGGCATGACTAGGATACGACATGTCTTGCACTCACGAAAGACTTGTATCGGCAGCACAAAAGTGCTCGCGCACTATCTATCTTCCTAACACTCTAGCGATGGCGTTCTTTGGGGCAAGCGCCGCTTCTTCTTGGTCATCTCGATCAAATCCTGAATAAGGATACCAACACCTTAATCCAAATGACCTATACGTACTGCTTATCTGCTACTCCTCACAAGGATGACAACGATGTCGACATGCCCCTCCATAAACCTCGACAAACCTACCATGACCCATTTCGGGTGCCCACCACCCTCAATCAATCTCGATTGGCTTGACCCTACTGAGTCCCCACGAGTCGCGTTGACGGCACGTGGCGCACCCTTTCAGCACCCAGGTGGTGGTGCAAAGGCGGTTCACGTCCGGCGGATCGTTGTCCTTGGAGCGGTGTGGTTTCGGTTGATCTCTAAAGTCTTCCATTTGACAAATCAATCTCCTGTTTATGCATTGAAGCTATATGTAGCTGTCCAACAAGAAACCTCCATCAACAGTTGTTTTGTTGACCTGACCGTCCGGATGATTGTGCTGGTGACCGTGGGGATCTATGTTTTTTTTTGCTCAAACCATCTGCTGCAACATAGGAACTTCTGTCGACCTACATCCAAACCACGATCAACATCGAGGTCAGAAGCAAACCAGTTTGGACACGTACAGGAGGACATGTCTTGGACATGTCTTGCAAAAAGATGCAAACAATCAGGTCACCATCATGTTCTACTTCGATCATCTTCCACCTTTGTCCCGTCAAGGGTACCTCCACAAATTGTACAGGGTAAGGACATCTCAAGCGAATCTCTGTTTTGCCCAGAGACTGCTGCATCTGTGTCCAAAGCTTTCATGAGCTCCTGAGACTGGGGCATAGTCCAAAGGAAATGCCCAACAACCAGACCTATAGCTATTGCATTTGGACATGTTGTTTTCTGGAGTTAAACACTCCGGGGGTTCAGCAGACCGACCATTGTGAGCCGTTCCTTCTTGATCAAAACAACGGACTGGTAGCTAGGTGCGAGATATCTCTCCCTTATTGCAGGATTGCCACTTCCCCAAGAGAGATCCAGCTACCAAGCATGAGCATTTGGTGGTAGTCCTGCCAGTCAGCCAACCAGGTCTGGCTTTCTTTCAGGCTTTCAGGCGAAGTTTTGCGGATTCAACTTCAGACTCAAACCATGCTGAAGTCAAATCATTTACTGCCTGGGGACCTTGAAATTCCTCAGACCAGCTTGCCTCTACGCCAGAGTTCCCTTGAGGACGAGCCGGGACCTGGTGGCACGAGCGTGGGAGGTGAGTGAGGACATCGAGACCGGCGTGGTGATCTCTTGGGAATGACTGCTCTGAAGGACACCATGATGTTTCATATGAGGAGCGGTCAAAACTTCTTGTCCTTCGTCAACAATAACGAACGCTCACGGTTTTGGGTGGACCTTATTTCTTATGATTATTTATGATCCATATACTACGAGTAGGCTGGGAATGTCGGTTTTGAATTGGCCAAAAATACCAAAGATATAATTGGCAGGGACTTTATCGTTTTACACCCTTTCTTGCACAAACCTACCACCCTTCTCTGCGAAAGTTGTCTTTGCAAGCTTTGATTGCGGCTCACATGGCTTTTAGTGGATTTGTGCAAGTCTTTAGGGGGGGGGCTTATGAAGAGTTTTCACGGGATTGGTAGATTGAAATTGAAATGTCCACAAGATCTTCAAGGAAGGATAGTTCACAAAAATAGAACAAGAAACTACTAGGAGCAAGGGCATACCTACTAGTAACAAAGGGCATTTCTACTAGGAGCAAGGAAGCTACTAGTAGCTCCTGGCCTTACTACTAGTAACAAGAAGCTACTAGTAATAATATATTTCGAGATGTTCAGTGCGAACCTTTGTGGTTACGGTCAAGGCATACATGGAGACGTTGCGCTTGGGATTTGCTACTTGGGCAATGAGGATCCAAAACGTTACCCATCCGGCGTTCTGCTTGCAAAAATCCATGGCTCCTGTTCAAAGTCAAGTACTGTAACCAACCGGGGGCCGATCCGAACTGCAGTCCACACGCTGAAAGGAACTGAATGGCAAAAGTCCTTCATGCACTCCACCCAACCATCAGTCAACAATCCACCATCATCCACATGACCATCCCACACTGTGATCAGGTCAGGCCTTGCCAGGATCGCCCAAGGCGACGAAAGAGAAAATGCCCAAGGAGATCGGCACCAAAACTTCGAACAAAAACGCCGTGCTGGGCGCCACCTGCTGCGAACAGTCTGCTCTGGTGGCGCAACGGGAATGTGGGGCAAACGAATGCATTTGGTGATATCCAGCCCTGCCGTACGGGGCCATACCGACCAAAGCATCTACCTACCAACTACCTACAAGCAAAGGCCATGTGGGCGTGGGAGTTGACCAAGAAACAGCGTCAGTGGTGACCTGCCTCATAGCTGGTGAGCCGGAGGTCCATGAGATATTGGAAGACCGCCAAAGAGACACACACCTGACATGGGAAGGAAGTGGCTTGCGTCCACCACCCTAAACGATACGAGGTTCACGGTTTGCGAGCTGACCAAGCCATATACAAAGATAATGTCCACTGTCCAAACATCTCGACACCAACTGTGTCCCTGTACTATACCTTCTGGCTGCTGATTCAAAAGAAATGAAAGACCGGACAGCATAGTGCACCGGGAGGAAAAATTGTGGGGGGGGGCTGCTTTACTACTGCATCTGGTCCAAAAGTCGGGTCGGCGCAAATAGGAGCCATGGCCGCCAGCCAAAACACAGGGAAGATCTTATGCGCCGTTTTGTCCTGACGGTTTGGATGTGCAGGACATCTGCCAAGTGGTTGCGTCAGGTCAAGTGCTTGGAGTCACAACCCCCTCACAAAGCGGGCTTTCGTAAGTTGCTTGCAGACTATCAGTCAGGGCCTACTTCAGCAGTGAGCTATTTGAGAACTTTAGCTAACAAAAACCCAAGCGCCCACAAACGCTAGGCTGATTCAAAAAGCAAATGCTGTACCCCTTTACAGGGTGACAAGTACACAACACACTTACCAAAGGCACATTTCAGTGTTTTGCACATGCGTCTAGAGGCCGCCACACCAAGAATGTCGGGATGGACATGTCCTCCGACTGAGTCTCCCCCAATAGCAATGTACTTCGATGGGGTCTTGCATGACTAATAGGCAGACAGGCCTCGTCGGGTCACCGGCAGATCTGGTGGGCGCATGGTGTCCGGGTCTTGTTCTGATGGTGTCCCGGTCCTGTTCTGATGGTGTCCCGGTGGTCTCCCGGTCCTGTTCTGATGGTGTCCCGGTCTTGTTCCGATGGTGTGCCGGTCTTGTTCTGATGAAATCCCGGTCTTATTCTGATGGTGTCCCGGTCAAGTGCTGATGGTGTCCCGGTCCTGTTCTGATGGGTCCCGGTCCTGTTCTGTCGGTGCGCCGGTCATGTGCTGATGGTGT